GCGCCGCCGCGCTTCCCAAGCGGCGCACTATCCAGTGCGCCACCGGGCCGGCCCCCACCTGTCCTGCTTCTGACAGCTTTTAGATCAGGCTGCATGAGCAACTGTTGTGACTCTGGACCGATGGTCCTCAGGTGCAGTGACAGCAGTGACCCCGAGGATGTGGAGCTTGGGGTTCATTCAGAAATGTGTAGCGAGGCAGCTATGTGGTTTGTCTTAAGACTGAGTGAGAAGCTCTCAGGGGATGGACCCTAAGACCCTAAAGAGGAGAACCTTCTCCATCTTCTTCGCTGACCAGAATGTGCCTGGCATGTGGCAGGTGCTTCACAAGTATCTGGTGAAGGACTGACTGAGAATGGAGCTGGCTGTCATGCCTGAAGCCAGGATGTGGCCAGCCATATTCCTGGACCACATGCCTGAGCCACGTACTCCCAGAGCCCTGTGCAGAGAGAAGAGATTCAGATGGAACAGATCGATGTGAAAGCAGGCACTGTCCTGGGACCTCAGAGAGGAGGGGAGGGGAGAAAAGAGAGGTGACTGCAGACAAGTTCCCCAGGGACCCTGTCCTGGCATGGCTCTTAGCAGAGGCATGGCAAGGCGGCCTGTGTCTGGTTTGCTGGGACAGCCCGGTTCATACCTGAAGCCCTGGCAGAATTATTTAATGGCGCTTCACTTCACTCTCAAAGTTATCCGGGCTTGCTGGTAAATTTCCTAAACACCTAGCATGGGTGGTGGCAGCCCGGGAGGGAGGCTGCGTTGCGAGAAGAGAGTTGCAGGGGCTGAGCTGGTCTGGGGTGTCCGGAAGGTCTTTCCTCTGTGCTCAGGCTTGTCCCATGTCCTCTGGACTCTGGGGGGCTGTGTCTGTGAGTACCGGGCACTGTCCCTTTTTTCTAGAGTACCAGTCAGCCCTGGTTTGATGTTCTTCCTGGGCAATGTGAAAATACGGTTATTAACATTGAGATGAGAGTGTCACCTAATGCATTGCTGTTCTAAATGTGTTGACTCTCCATCCTGCAGCGGCCCAGAAACTCAGCGGGCAAGTCAGAATAGCAAACGTCAGGTATGCAGAGTCCTTACGCAACAAGAGCAGCGAAGAGTATCGAGATTTCCTGGAACTGTTCTTCAGGATGGTAAGCTGGTGAAATCAGGAGGCAAAGGATGCAGGGTGGGTAGAACTCTAGTCTCATCAACCAGGAATTAGACTTGAACGTCCTGTGGACTCCTCATTTCTGAAGGAAACCGCGACTGCAAGCTCCGGCAGGGCTCCCAGTGTCCCCAGGTCTGTGTGGCACAGAAAGGTCAGTGGTCAGGAGATGCTTCTCCTCTCAGCATTCCTGCTTCACACTGTTTCCTGTCCGGTGAAACCCCCGCAGCAATTCTGGGACCCTGTGGAGCAAACTCCTCCCCTGCTTTAAAAAAAAAAATTGAGATCTATTTCACATACCATAAAATCCTCACTTTTAAAGTGTTCGATTTGGTGGTCTAGACTATTTTGCAAAATTGTGCAACTACACCACCATCTGATTCCAGAACATTCTCACCACCCCCAAAAGAAACCCTGCACACATTAAAAGTCATTTCCTCTTTACCCCTTCGCCCAGCCAATGGCAACCACTAATCTGCTTTTTGTCTGTACAGATTTGCCTGTTCTGGATATTTTGTAGAAATTGGATCACAAATATGTGACCTTTTGTGACCGACTTCTTTCACTTAAGCTAACGTTTCCAAGTTTTATCCATGCTGTAACATGTATCAGTGTTTCATTCTTTTTTTATGGCTAGGTAATAATCCTCTGCATGGGTAGACCACATTTTGTTCATTCATTCATTCTTTCACTGATGGACATGAGTTGCTTCCACGTTTTGTCTATCATGAATAATGCTTCTTTGATCTCCTGCTTTAAAAAAATTCCTTTTCCTCCTCTCTCGGGCGTCCTTCCCGCCACCTCTTAGCATTCTTCGGGATGGTGTACTGCTACAATTTAGTAAGAGTGGCAATCTCAATACTCTTTTTGATGGAGGTTAGATTGCTTTTTGAGATACAGAAAATGTATTTATAATCTAGTGATCTCATTTGCACAGTGGAAATCTCACAATTTAGTTTTTCCTTAGTCTGAGAGTTTGAGTTTTAAGACAGACTAGAGAGGGTTTGGCAGCGCCACCTACTGGCAGGTGTGATAACATGATCCTGTCCCACCCCATGGGCATTACTCACTGTTGGGTGGATCTTGCTACCTCCAGGAGCTGTCCCAGTGGAGTTCCTTGGGATCTGGGACCCTGCCCTATTTATTCTGGGATTCCCAGCTCCTGGCTCTGCATGTGGATTCGAGAGCTGTTGATGGTTCGATGTGTGTCACCTTCTCCATTAGATTAAATGACAGTTGCACATAATGTTAAGCAACAAACACCAGAATCACTTCACAGAGCTCTACTGATCCAGTGAGGCAGCTCAATTTCCACCCCAGGTTTCTCAACTAATTTACCCTCTTCAAAGAATTTCTTCCTTTGCCTGCTTTTGGGGGTGGTTGTTTTTTGTTTGTTTAGAATCTCAGGATAGCAAATACTTGTGCAGCTATTACAAACATAGGATGTTAAGACACATTTGGGGAGGTGGCACCTGGTTCTTTGCCATCTCCTCGCAAGGGGCATGGAACTTTGCTTTGAGACTGATTTGAAATGCAATTAAGAGTGATATTAATTCAAGACTGTGACAGACCCCTCTTAGGGTGTGTGTGTTGGGGGGTGGGGGGAAGAGAGAGAAATGAGGAGAGAAAGATACAGAGAGAGAGAGAAAGAAAGTGAAATAGAAAAAGACAGAAAGAGAGGAGAGCTAATTGTTAGGATAGTAATGACAGCAGCTGTCTAAGGGGCAGCTAGGGGTTGCTCTGGGGGTCTACAGCCTATGATGGGTGACAATGGATTTGTTCACCTGGGGTGGCCCAGAGACCAGGAAGTGAATCCATGAGCCCGTGCCTGAGCCACCACATTTCATGGTTTTCTCAGTGAGGACAAGTCCTGGCAATGTACTTTTCTGTAGGAGATTTGCATTATATGGACTATTAAAGCTCATTGTAAGATCATGTGTCTTTCTGGACCAGGAACCGCCTGTCCTAATAGGGATGTTGGAAATGCTCATGGGAAGCAGCTTGGGGACAGGTGGGGGGAAGAATGAAGGGGAAATGTCTTGCAGTATCATGAGCAAAAGGGTAGTTCTAGGGCCGGCCTGGTG